GGTAGGACTAAATGGTTGGAGGGGACTCGAGTCATGTATTTTCCTTCCCCTACATGGATGGCTAGAGGAGCCTCAAGTTGGATATACCCTTTTCCCAACATGGATTAGGCTCTGATAAAACCCCAGCAGTTAGGCTCTGGTAGAATAGTTTCTCTTGAGGGCAGTCCTGGTTATGAAGAACAGAATGCTCTGGTGTATTTAAAAATAGTTTCTTTTCTCCTCCCCGTGCCAGAAGCACAAGGGGATTTTTCTCAGATATTCACTGCAAGGACCTGGTAGGGCTCCTGGATGTAAAACTCACAAAAGTTTTGCCCCTCCTGCCCCCAATCCAATTACTGGGTGCCCCTGGAGTTTCTTACTCTCAGAGTGGTCCACACTGAGCCTCCAGAAATCCATCAATTACAGTTTGGGTTTTCCTACTCTGGCATGTGGAGTTTTCTGCTCTGATAAGTTGTGATTCTCTAGATCCTCTTGTCTGTCTCTCCAATTTTGGGGTCAGTGGTTTGCCCTGCGACCTCACTTCTCTGAGGGATCTAAGAAGAGCTGTTGAGTTTTCAGTTTGCTTGGCTTTTTACTTGCTGTTAGAATGGAGTGGCCACTTCCAAGCTCCTTATATGTGGGATGGGACACCGAAAGTCCATACCGTAAGCTACTTTTAACACTACTTAATCCATCTTTCTCTCACTTTTTTGTGATGCCACCTTTCTCATATATAGAGTGACAATGTAATTTATTGTCCAAACAAGGATGAAAAAGGCTGTTATTAACAATTGTTCTTGGACAACAGGCAAAAGTGGGACTTTCCCAGGCAAATGGGGCATATGTTCAACCAGTCATATACCAGGTTCTCAAACACTCATGTTGCTTCTGGGCTTTCTAATCTATCCCCTCCCCCCCACCCCCAATGGCATTGTAATATATTTTAATATCTGGAAGGGCCAGTTCCTCTCTCTTGCTCTTCTTTGTCAATTTTGTATTATCTATTTGTGGATCTTTATCTTTTCATATATGGTATAAATTCTCTAAAAACTCCCTTACCGTTGTCATTTTATCTTCCTGATGTGATAAAATCCCAAACCTAGATAAAATTCTCACACCTCTGTGACTCAGTGCTGCTGGACAAAGCCCCATGGTAAGGCCAATTGTCTCCTATGTTAACTGACTCCTAGCCTCAAGTCTGCCCCGCTACACTGCTGTACGTATCTTGTAAACTGTTACTTTCCCACTCTCAACAATGATGATTTCAAATCTTCTCCAATCTCCCCAAACCTCCAAACTTTATTTCTCCTCTTCCATTCTTGTTTTCTTTTTTACCTTGTCTCTTACTTTATAGAAAAAACAGAAGTCATCAGATATAAAGTCTCTCATTTTCCCATCTGCATCCACCTTGTCCTCCTTCACTCCTGTTATAACAGAGGAGACTTACTTCTCTTTCATCTCTGCTTTGGTCCATCCTGTCTTCCTGACTCTAACAATTACCACTTTTCTCTCCTCCAGATTCAACTTTTACCCCAACTGAATCATTCCCATTAGCCTTTTAAGCACATTTGAGTCTCTCCCACCTAAAAATTAAGAGACCTTCAGTTAACTCTTCATCCGCCTCTGGTTTTGATGTTATCGCTCTTCGCTCCATCACAAGTTACTTGAAGGAATTGGCTATACTTACTGTTTTCACTTCCCACTCATTCTCAACCCAATCCCAGGTGTTTTCGGGAACATCGCACTACCAAAACAAATCTAGCTAAGGCCATCAGTGGCTTCTGCGATGCTAATATATAGTCCTTCTTGAAGCACCTTCCTCCCTTGGCTTCTGTGCCATAGCTCCCTCCTGCCCTTGCCCCACCTTGACTTTCCTGTCTGCTCTTTCTCTACTTTCTTTGGCTACTCATCCTCCTTTAATGGCCTTTAAATTTGAAATTGCTCAAGGCTCAGTCTTAAGCCCTGTTCTGTTCTGACTTTATTCTCTTTCTGTAGTTGATCTCATTCAGTTCATGGCTTTAATTACTACCTATGTGTGGATGATTCACAAGTTTATATTTCCAGTGTTGGCCGCTTCCCTGAGCTTCTATCTTCTACTTGCATTTCCTCTTGGATCAAAAACACTTCAAATCCACCTTGTCAACAACTAACTTAACTATCTTCCCTCTCACCTGGTCCTCCTCCAATTGTGCAAGCCAGAAACACTTGATGTCATCCTTGGCTCTTCCCTCTCTCACCCTTCATATCAAATGCTTTTCATTTTACCTTCCTAATATCTCTTGAATTCCTACTACCACCCCTACTACTACCCTAGACTAAGCTACATCATTTTTAATCTGACCTAACATAAAAGTATCCTAACTAGTCTTTGTACATCCTCTCTTGCCTTTCTCTTCCTAATTTGTTCTCTATACTGCAAGCCAGAGAGATCTTTTCAAAACAGAAATATAGTTGTAATATGCCCTACCTTACAACAATTCAACAGCTTTTTATTGCTTCTAGAATCTAGACTAAAATCCTTAACAGAGTTGAGTTCCTGCTTTTCTACCTCTCTACCCTCATATTGTGCCATCTCCCTCTTTGCTTTCCATACTTGGTCCACTGGTCTTGTATTTTCTCCTGCCAAAGGCTGGTCAATTGCTAGTTCCTCCTTCCCTCCCTTTCTTCCTTCTCCTTCCCTCCCTCCCACTCTCCCTTCTTCCCTCTCTCCCTCCCTTTCTTTACTTCACCTCAGCTCACTCATCCTTTTCATTGAGAAGCCTTCCCTGTCTTCTCTCACTATGGCAATTTCCTCCTTTATGTGTTCTCATAATCCCATCCCTCTCCTTTCAGATACTTTATCTCTCTTTTAATTTTACAAGCATTTCTTTGGGTCCTTGATTAATGTCTAGTTCTCTAATAATCTGTAAACAACATGAGGGCAGACTCTAGTCTCTTGTTTTTTTCTCATTGTTTCCTCAGCACTTAGCACAGTGCCTGATACAGAGGTGTGCACTGAAGGACTAACTATCCCTTCCTCCTCCCTTTGGTTGTGAGATTCCTGGCTCTGTGTCTTGGCTGCAATATCTGCCTTTGCTCCTTTAATTAGACAACTCCCTGAACTTCCTTCTGACTTTGGACTTTGTTTTTCTAGATGGTCCTTAATAGCCTGGATAATAATACTAGCTAGCATTTTTCAGCACTTTCTATTGGTCAAGGACTTTACATATATTGCTTCCATTCCCCTCAAACACTGAAAAATAAGCATTATTAAGCCTATCCTTGAGGAAACTTCCATGACGCAGATAGGTTAATTAACCTGGCCAAGTCCCACAGTGATGGAGCCAGGGTTTGATCTCAGCCCCATCTGGCTCTAATGCCTCAACTTTTTCCTGTATTCCACAGTCCCTCCTAATAATGTTATCCCCTTATGTTAGGTAAGAAGTTTCTCTCTAGCCAAGCTTAGTCCCATGGAACCATATACACTGGACCAACCCCCAACAACTAACTACCTGATTCCAATATACACACAAGTACTTGGTAAATGTAAAGAGTCCTTTTGCTTCATAATTTCCTGAAAGGAATTTAGACTCCCTTCTGCAACTTTGTTGGTGTGAGGATGGATTTCCAAACAATGTGATTTTCTTGGACTTGTGCACTTGGCCTCCAGTGAAGACCCTCTTTACTGGAGGTCACAGAACTTTTATGGGTACTTTTAATCCTAAATCTTTATAATCCTTGGGAGGGTTCTGGGTGATTACATTGGGAAAACCAAAGGGAACGAGTATTTAATTAACACCTATGATGTGCTAGGTACTTAACTGTCACATCATTGAATCCTTGATGAGAATAGTTATTTCAATTTCACAGATGAGGAAATGAAGCTCAGAGTGACCCATTCTGACCCAGGATTGTCTAAAGCCAAAGCCTGTACCTTTTCCAGTTGCCTCTGGCAAAGATCCCAGTAGGGGACAAGACTAAGACTCTTGGCCCAGAACTGAAACAAAGAAGAATGTTTTCCAAGCCATAGAAGCCACCTCAGGTAAATATGGTTGTTTATCCACAACCTCAGTTGCCAGATGGTAATTAAGCCTTGAACAGAAGGGGTTGTTTCCTCTGATTCAGAGAATGCTCCCGGAGTTGTTTGCTTTTCAGAAAACATCAGCTCCTTCGGACAAGCTTTGGGCCTACCATAACCTGCTCTTGTACCTTTCCCCAACTCCCAGACATGTCCACATTTGTCATGGTCTAGAATAGACTACCATGTTAGCCACCAACTGAATGAAGATCACTTAAGAAGCTTTCATCATTTATTTCAATCTGTGGTTTCTTTTCTGAGTACCTAAGACTGAAAATTAAAATATTTTACAATGGGTGGTTGTGTCTGATGGTAGTATTATGCATGATTTTTATTTTCTTTCTGTGCTTTTTGTATTTTCTAAAGTTTCTATAGTGATGATATATTATTTTAAATGAAGAGGTTTCTAAATTTTTAAGAGCCTCATTACAACATTCCACGGCTAACATATCCTTTTTTAAAATTATAGGTCAGCATAAATTTTCTCAGGTTATGTTTAAGTTTAAAGTCACTTGGAAGAGATTTGCTGGTAAGGCAGTCTGCTTGACTCCCTGCAAAAGAGAGAGATTAAGGGACCTGTGACTGGTCCCCATCTAGCCAGAGGAGATAGCCAGGTAAGGTAGACCCAGGTTTAGATGGGTGGACAAAGTTTGATTTCCAGAATGCTTGGCAAGCTATGGTTAAGGCATCTGGTTGGGTGTCTGGTCATGAATAGACCTTTTCAAATACTGGGAACTTTCTAAGCTACCTCATCAGCATGACCTTAAGGGCTTCCAAAACTTTTGATCACAATCTTGGCCCTGAATCACCCCATACCCATTTTGAAATCTACAGCATGACCTTAGGGTGTTTACTCTTCCCTCATTGCATTATGGCCTCACTTTCTTTTCAGACTTGAATACACAATACTTCTTTCTTAAATCTAGTTTTGGCTCTTGGCTCCTGTCCTCAACTCTCATCTGGATTCTCTCTCCTGATATGTTACCTCACCCTTTTTGGTCCAACAGACTTAAGCTTCAAGAGATAAACCTAAGCAGCATCAAGATCCCAGATTAAGTCACAAGCATTCTAACAAGTGGGTGGACCATGGCAATGGGACATCTAGGAGAATACTATCTAGAAGTCCAAGTAGGTGTCATCTTGGACATTTGTCTTCAGGAAGCAGAGCCCCAGACATAGAGATCAGGGCTAGCGGTCAGGGTTAGGGCTCCAGTTCCTACATGAGAACCAAGGATAAGTGAGAGAATTGGAATAGGAACTTGGAATGGCATCCACAACAGGATTCCAGTCCCATGAGCATGGTATAGGAGTAGAGTTGGCCAGAGAGGGTAGGTTTGGAAACTTAGGCTTTAGGATAAGGAGGGACTTCTGCTGGGGGGATGAGAGTAAGAGATCAACTCAAGACCTCAGTGGTCAATGCAAAGGTACCATGACCAAGGATGGCTAACAGGGATAGTGAGGTGATAACCCTCAACTGGGGACAGTGGTTGCTTGAGCAGACTGTCCTCAGGTCCTTATTGGTCTTGGTAGGAGGATAATTGAGTCTGAAGGAGAGAACATTGGTATATCTAAATATGGATTGTTGCATCAGAGAGTGTAGGGGACACTGACAGTTAGGGACTGGAGTGGAGAATGAAGGAAGATATGTCCTACAGCATCATCTCAAAAATGTTTCTTCTCTGGAGGTTTGTGAGATGTTGTGTGGTGGAATGGAAAGTGCATGAATGTTTGAGTCAGGTAGATTTGTATTAAATCTTGGCTCTGCCACTTTCCAGTTGGATGACTTTGGCTAAGTCACTTGACCTCTATGAGTCTCTTTTCCCACCTGAAAAAGGAGGATAATAATACCCCTCTTGCTTGGTTGACAAAAGGAAAAAATGAGATGACATTTACAAAACATTCAGCACCCATAATGGGTCCTCAGTGTATTGTAGCTAGAGGGAAGCGTTCCCCCAACACCTTACGCTGATTGTATTAACATAGGAGGAAGACACCCTGAAAAGGAAAAGCAGGAATACACTTTGTATTGTTACTACACAAGAGATACTTGTTCACTGTAGAAAATCAGAAAACATGGAGAAGCAAAAATTACAAAGCAAACATTACTCATAATTCTACTACCCGCAAGATAGTTATTATCAACCTTTTGATATATTTCTTTTCAGATCATACATACCTACACACACATATATGCATATATATTGTAAAATTTAGGATTATTCTATACTTACTGTCTTGTAAGCTGCTTTTTACTCAACAACACATTATGAACAACTTTCTTTTCTACTCAATATATATCTCAATAAAATTTTCTGCGACTGTATAATGGCCCATAGTATGAACAGTTCACATTTTACTTAATGAGCCTCAGAGCGTTGAACATTTTGTTGTTTACAATCTTGGGCTATAATGATCATCTCTTATGGCTAAATTTCACATCTTTAATTTTTCCCAGGAGTGGAATTAACGTAGGTTATTATTGCTGGATCTGTCCAGGAAGGGATTTTGAACCACTTCAGTAAATATCTGAGAGAGAATCCAAAGAAAATAATCCCAGTCATTACATCTCCTCTTTCTAGTTTCCCATGTGTATTTCCTCAGTCTGAAAGTCATGGAAGGAAAAACAGCTGATTTGTCTTTTATGAAAGAGCTTTCAATGCAGATTTTTAGAAATTAAATGAAGGTTTTGCCTTTATTGCTCTAAGGAGTAAGTTCATTATAGAAAAGTTTACAAGGACAGAAAAGTAAAGGGAAAAAAATCCCCCACTGTTTCAATAGTTTTGGTTTGTCCTTTTCCTTCTGGACTTTTCTGTATTTGTACTTGGAAATTTATAGACAATTGTGTTCATATTGTGTGTATAACATCGTGTCTTGTTTTTTTCCGTTAGTCCTAGGAGCCTCCACATTTTCCCAGGTTTTTCTAAACACATCAGAAACATCATTAGAATGTCTGCATTGGCTGGATTATCCGGTGTAGCTTTTGACACTGGTCCCTCTTCTAGGCTGTAGAGATTTAGGCCTAAATCTTGTCCTCTTTCCCTACAAAGACCCTCACCTCCCAAACCCTATATCCTCTCGCCAAAGTTACTAGCATCCCTTTCTTTGCTAGCAACTCTGCCAAAATAGATTCTTATTTTCATTTTAGTCATCTTTTTTACCCTTTCTGCTTTATTTCCTCTTCCCCAGGGCTGTGCCTCCACCTCCCAGACCTGAGAAGCACGTGGGAACCTGGAGGAGGAGCAGCGCAGAGGTACATGAGCAGTAGGCGGCCCCTCTGACAACTCGCTCTGGGCATATGGCCTCCAGTCCACGGAGGTCAAGTCCTAAGAGCTAATGGATTGTGTTCCTCCCTGAAAAGCAGATTAATCCTCCATGCTCTATGGGTTATTTCACATATTGAGAGCAAACACAGCAGGCCAGGATTGGGAGCAGGGCTGGACCAGGACACGTGCCCGCCCTGAGCAGGCTAATAACCTGGCCTCCTTTCAAAATGATAATCTCTAAATATTTGCCCAACATTCATCTGGAGGAGAGGCTGAGTGCTCTGTAGGAGGAGGAGGCAGGGAAGGCTGCTGGCTCAGCACTGCTCCCTCTTTATTGCCCTGAGCAGTTCAGAGCCCCCGCCCTGAACTTGCACACCTTATCCAGCAACTAAGAGGCCTAGAGGGCAGCCTACACCATCTCTTGTCACTTCAGCGCCCCCTACCAAGAGGAATGGTGAAGGGCCTGAGAGAGCCCAACAGCCTATTTACCTGCCTTGTGACTGGCGAATTCCTTAACCTTTCTGGAAGGAGTATTCTTATCTGTAAAATAGGGGGATAATAAGAGTACTGACCTCAAATGGGCTGGAAGGGTTTAAATGAGTTAATATATGGAAAGGAGTTAGAGAAGTTCCTGGCACAAAGCTATCATTGTATACATTATAATCACAGTGTATCATTTATAATAGTAAATCTTATTATTATCATCATTCTCATGTCATGCTTGGTTCAATAATTCTGGTAAAGACCATTTTCTCCATCTCATTACATTTCCAGCGACGTTTTATGCTTCTTACAGACTGGTATCCTGGCACCAGCCCAGCTGGCCTGCATTTAAATCCAGCTTGGCTTGAGAGCCTCGAGTACAGTGGACAGGCTCCAGTGGAACCGGGGTGTGCGTGCGGGTACGTGTGTGTGTGTAGGGGTCATTGCCTGATCACTCTACCCACACTGTAGCCCTTGGTTAGAATAAAAAAAGCACCTTATCTTCCACATGAGGATTGGGGGATGCTAAGAAAGGTAGAGATGGACTTTGGGGAAATTGGTCACTTACTATGGGTAGGTAATCCTCAGTAAGAGAAATGATATATTCTTGAGAAGAACCAGGAAGAGAAGGAATTTCTCCTTCAAACCAAGTGACACATGCCTCCTGGGATCCTGAGAGGCAGCAGGAGGTAGTGAAGAGAATATGATGCGTGCTCTTTGGAACCAGGCAGACCTGGGTTCGATTTCTGTCTTAGTCACTGAGTGACCTTGAAAAAAGTAACTATCCTCTCTGTGCCTCAGTGTCTTTATGCAAAATGGCTATGTTGTACTGATGACAGAAGATGCGCAATATACAGGAACTGGCAAGATGTCTGGAACAGTTTCTTTGAGTTCTTAAAGTGACAATGAGAGAATGGGCCCTGACAGCACCCTTAGTGCCCAGAGCCTTGTAGGTGATTGATGCACAAGTGTGAATAACTGGGAAATGCAGGGCATCCCAGAATGCATAGTCATAGCCATGATATCTCATATTTATGGAGTCCACATCCTGTGCTCTTGCTAACACTTCATAGCCATCATTTCACATAATCATCCCAATAATCCTGTGAAGTAGGAATTATCTCCATGTTACAGGCTCAGAAACTGGGACTAGGAAGTAGGGACTCTGGGCTCATATCCCTCATGACCCCAAAGCTGGCGCTTGTGACCATTGGACCTAAATCATTGTCCCCAAATCACTGTCCCCTCATCTTCCACTTGGGGATCTGGTGTCAGTTTCCACTCAATGCTAGAAAATCACTGTGATAAATAGGTTTAAACAAATAGAACCACATAATCGGGGAACATTATACTAGGTAGTATAACGCCTAGGAAATAAATCAGCCTTTTAAGTTTTATATTGCAATACAGCTGAAATGCTTAATAATTATTGCCAGAGAATGGTATAATGCAGTACTAAAAATGAGTAATTGAAAAGCCCATCAAGGCAGATGAGGCATCTTCTCACTGAATTGCTCTCAAATACTTTACATAATTATTTCATTCAGATTTATGATCAGCTCAGCAGAATGTGTGTCTCTTTATCCTGCTTTGCCTGAAGTTGTTCAGGAATCCTTTTTATATTGTGCCAACACCTTCTGGGATGGACAAACGAATGTCTCTTGTACACTAATGGGGCTTTCAATGGTTTGATTTCATTTAGCAAAGGACAAGATTGGGAGCGAAAACTCTGTTGGCTGAGGACCCTCCGTGTCCCAGTCACTGGGCTGGGGTTTATAAGCATTAACTATGTTGGCTCAGTTAAAGTCCATAGCAATCCTGAGACGGGACTATGTTTTCCATCTCACAGAAGAAAATGAGGCTCTGAGAAATGGCGTCACTTAATCAGAATTGCCAGGCTCATAGTGAACTCACACCCGGCAGTCTGGCTCCAAACCAGTGGCCTTTCCACCACATCACCAGCCTCCAGCAAGACCCTGTGTGCCCAGAGAAGGCTTAGATTTTTGGAAAGAGGATTCTAGTAAGGTCAGATGCAGAAAAAACTGATCCTAGCCAGATTTTATTTGCAGCTCTGGCTTTTTAAACATCTGAGTTGGTCCTCCACCCCCATCCCTTCCTCCTCATTCCTCCATTCTTACAGTGTCAGCACCTCCAGGCGAGAGGGATCCAGCCCTGTCTCCATCAGGGACACAGTTTCCCATGGATTCAGCCTCCCCACCCTGCCAGATCATCCCAGGCTGTCGGATTTATCAGAGGCACAAGCTTATCAGCTTGCCTCTCCCTGGAGCCCTGGAGTGGGAGTTCTTGGCAAATTCCATTCACTGGCAAGTGTGGACAGATGGCTGCCTGGATGAGCGGACAACCTTTGTTTCTGGTCTCACCCATATGTCAAAGTGGCCCAAACAAGGAAAAGTGGGGAGGGGGCAGGAGGGAAAGGATGGGGCCACCTCATAGGCAGGAAAAATCCTAACATCCATTTTATTCTAAACATTGCATTTAGAAGTTTATAAATAGAAGAGAGGGACTCTCTGACTCTTCCCCTCCCAAGCATAGGACAGTGACATTTCTGGCATTTTTCTGGTTTTTCTCCCCAAAGCCCCAGTTTCCTCCTTACCCACGATGCTTGCTTGGACTCTGCTTATGTCAGCAGACATCAGCACAGGGTCAACACTCTGCTCCTCTCCCCGACCCCTCGCCTTGAGAATGAGGTAAGGTTCTGCTGAGGGTTATTTCAGAAGGGGCTTAAACAGGTCCTTGAATGTCTTCATTCTCCAGGCTATAAAAGCATGTCAGATTTCTCCTCACACAGCAGACATCACGCATGGACTTAAATCTTACTGAATATGGTACATGTCTGTGAATGTCTCTGCTCCCTGGGGAAATGCCAAACTTTGATCTAACTGTATTTTAACACTAAGAATGTCTCTTAAAGAAGTGGATTTATGGCAATTCTCAGTGGCTATTTGTCAAACACATCCAATGTGGTTCCCAGCCTTGGGGGTACTAAGAGCCTCCAAAACAAATCAAATGTCTGAGGAGAATGCATTTGGTCTCCATGAGCTCAAGGGTGGAGGGTTGGGGGAGACAACATCAAGTCATGCGGAGGCGGCACTGAGCTGGGCTCCGTGGGGAGGGAGCTGAGAGCCTGGCTCACGCCTTGCTGAGGAGCAGGAGATGTGAGCGGTTCACCGGCTGATGGATGACAGGAAGAAGCTCTTCCAGATAATTATTAGAAGCAGGGAATCCGCTGTTGTCCTGTCAACACAGTGTATTGTGGGAGAAAGAACACTGATGAGAGGCGAGAGGGGTCAGGAAGAACACAGAGAGAGAAACAGGCATAGGAAGTGCTCATCATTGGCCATGGACTGTGTTAAGTGTGTCTATTTGTTACTCCCTCAACCCTCCGTCTTCCCAGACACTGTTCCCTCTCCTGTTGCCAGACTAGTTTCTACTCATGATCTCACTTTACGTGTCACTTCCTCCAGGAAGCCTTCCTGAAAACCCCAGAGCCTGAGCCAGATGTGCTGCACTCTATGCCCACCTAGTCCTTTATCTGCTCCTCTCCAGAGCTCCATCGCTTCCGTGAACGTGAGCCTTGGAACCACCTGGGAACTTTGTGGAAATAATGATGCCAGGCAGATCAGTTGAATCAGAAGCTCTCAGAGTGAGGCCGGGGTGGCAGAGCTTTTTTAAAGGCCCTGGGTGATTTAGATGGACATTTAGGATGACGAGCATCTTGAGTCTAGTCTGTCGTATCTGACTGCAGGGGCTGGATCTACCTTGCTTACTTTTGTGTGACCAGCACCTAGCACTGGGTCTGGCACATCACACAAATTTAATTAATCTTTGTGGAATGAATAAATGAATTGAATAAAATTAAAGAAGTGTTATTGCTCTCTCTCTTTTATTTTTTTTGAGGAAGATTAGCCCCGAGCTAACATCTGCCACCAATCCTCTTCTTTTTGCTGAGGAAGAGTGGCCTTGAGCTAATATCTGTGCCCATCTTCCTATTTTATATATGGGATGCCTGCCACAGCATGGCTTGATGAGTGGTGCGTAGGTCCACACCGGGAACCCGAACCCCAGGCCGCTGAAGCAGAGTGCGTTACCTTAACCACTATGCCATCGGGCCGGCCCCTATTGCTCTCTTTTTAGAGAACAGGAAACTGATCCATGGAGGCAAAATAGCTGGCCTGTGGGGGCAGAGTTGCCATAAGAGGAGGGACTGGAGTGTAGGCTCCACAGGAACAGGGACCTTGTCTGCTTTATCTCACCCTTTGTTCCCAGTGCCTAGAGTCCGGTTGAAGACAGGACGGGAGCTCGGCACATGTTTGCTGAATCAATGACTGCACCTGGTCTCTCTTACTTTGAACATCAGTCTTTCCCACTGTATCTTGCTATGAAACCTGCCTCTGCCATTATACATGTGGCTTTGCACAAGTCACTTCTCTCAGGATCTGTTTCCTAAAATGAGGAAGTTGGATGAGCTGGCCTCCAGAGGATTCCTTCCAGTTCTAATCACAGCAGATTGCGCTAACACATCTATATTGTCACTTCTAAGGATACAAATCCAGCTATTAGCCGGCGCCTTCTGTACATAGCAACACCTTCATATTTGTCAGGAGGCCCCTGAATTGCTCCTTCTAGTTTTCATATCTCTCTTCCCTCATTCATGCCTCTCTTTACTTTCTCCCTCCTTTGGCAGGTTTTCCCAGTAGGCAGGCTGTGGTCAGCAAGAACTGGCCGTCAGCTCTTATTCCAAAGAGAGAATACGCAGCTTGGAAAATGTGGTTATTAACTCATCATCCCCCTATATCCACTTCCAGAGAAAAGCGTCGTTTTCTTGATGTAGTTGTAGCACAAAGGAAGAAGGGAACTTGTGTTTGTTAAATGTCTACTACATCCTTGAAACTTTATTATGTTATCTTATTTAAGCCTCACCTCCAACTGCCTGTCAGTTTTACCTCCACAGTATTTCTCTCCAGCATCCTAGAATCCCAAACTCCACAAGCACCGCAGCAACCTTCTAACTTATCTCTCTGCTTCCATACTTAACCCCTACAATCCAAACTTCTGCAGAAGCCAGAGTGCATGTTTAAAATAATAAATCAAATCATGTCACTTCCTTGCTTAAAGAATTCCAGTGGCTTTCCGTTGCACTTAAAATCCAAACTTTTTTGTGTGTGTGCTGAGGAAGATTAGCCCTGAGCTAACAGCTGTGCCAATCTTCCTCCACTTTATATGTGGGCTGCCAACACAGCATGGCTGACGAGTGGCATAGGTCTGTGTCTGGGATCCGAACCTGCAAACCTGGGTCACCAAAGTGGAGCACTCTGAACTTAACCAGTATGCCACAGGGCTGGCTGCTTAAAATCCAAACTTTTAATGCCTGCTAGCCCCCGTCAACTTCTTGGATATCATTCCCTGCCACTCTTTGTCACATCCGCCAAGCTCCAGTCCCTTAAACATGCTTCACTCCAGAGACTCTGACAGTTCCTTTTGGTTGTCTCCATCCTACATGATCCCAGCCACAGATCTTAAAGAGTTAGGATGGGAAAGTGCAAGGAACAAATTTAGGGATGCCTGAGACTTCCATGTCGCTGGTTTTCCAGGTGAACCTCCTGAACCTGCTTTTAGCTTTGCTCCTCACCTTTGCCTTCACAGTGTGTTGCAATCAAGGTAGATGAAGCAACTCCAGGCGTTCCATGGATAAAGTCAAAAGCATACACAAGATGTGGTAAAGAACCAAATACACTGCCTTCTTTTCACCGATGGAAAGATTTCAGTAACTTGTAACTTGATTTTTCAGATGGTCAGGGAACAGAAGTTTAGCTTTGGGGGAGGGAAGCTAGAATTTACCGAGCTATATGCCAGACCTTTTAAGGATGATTTTGTTGAATTAGCAGAACAACCCTCTGAAATAGGTATTATGATCCCATGTCATAGAGGAGGAGGCTGAGGTTCAGTGGAGTTAAGCAATTTCCTGAGGGAAACACAGCTTTCCTAACGGACAAACCAATATTCAACCCAACCGTACGTATTCAACCCACATCTCAGGCTCTCTCCTCTGCCACACCATCTTCCTTTACGAGGCCTGTCCTTTCTTCCCAACAAAAACAACCTCAGAGTAAAAATAATGTATGGGTAAGTAATGGTAAAGATATAACAGCAAGAAAAGGCTGTTTTCCAAGCCTTTTTGGAGGCTCCACTTACCTGTGCTTACAAGTTGTTCTTAAATATTCATTAAATTGGATTCCCTAAGGGCCTGTACTTGAGGGCTCAGTTGACTGATGTCTGAATTCCTAAACGTACCTGAAAATAACCAAATGTTTTTTCTCTCAAAGCATTCTGTAGTTTAGATTGGTAACCAATTCAAAATGATCCTCTGTTCAATTAGGGCTTTTTGGTCTTTTTCTTTTATTCTTGGAACCCTAAGGTCAAACTTCAACAGTGTCACCTGCTGAGCGCCCTGCCCGGCTCTCTTTCTGGGCGTGCTTCCTTAAGAGAACAATCCTGCTTTCAACAATAGAAACAACAATCAATGCTTACACAAAAGACTTAAGGACAATGGGAGATTGTGGGTGAGTTAATTACGCTCCTCGTCCCTTTGTTCTTTGCAAATAAAGGGCTTGGGTGATCAGTGAACTTTAGAAATGCATCACACTAAAGAGACATGGGTTTCTTAGGGATCCAATGAATATCCTCTTCCAACATCTTCATTTATATGGGAAATATCCACACTGTTTGATCCTGGAGGAAGGAGCCAGCACAAAGCAGGAATTGGGGGACACACGTCCTGGGGGAACTTGCGGAACTCACTCAACCTTTCTGGGGCTTGGTTTTCTCATGTAAAAGTGACTCAATGGTAATGAAATCTCCTGTAGTTCTAAAATATTATGATACTGCTCTCAGATTCAGCCTGTTTGGGAAGTTCTGAACAGTGAGCCAGGGTTTGGATCCCTGTGGTTTTGGGCCTGTTTACTTCTTTTTCTCTCATGCTGTCCACGGCCTGGGACACTGCAGCATCCATGCTGATGACGGATAGACAGCCCTTAGCCCTGAGCTCTGCTCCACTTGCCACCTCTTCCCTGAGGTCTACCCTGGCCCCTGTTGAGATGGAACTGCTACATCTTTGAAATCTTGGTCTATGCAACTTCCTCCTAAACACGGCTTCCTATTTTTCATTCATTCATTCAGCAAACATTCATTGCCAGCTTGCAATGTGCCAGATACAGCCATGTGCCTCATAATGATGTTTCGGTCAATGATGGACAGCATATGCGGCGGTCCCGTAAGATTAGTCGCCTTGTGCAAGTACACTCTATGATGTTTGCACATTTCTCAGAACATATCCCTGTCATTAAGCGATGCATGACTGCACTATGATATACAGTGATGAACAAAACAAAAACGGTACCTGCTCTTGTGTAGCTTATCATTGGTCAGGTGAATCAGACATTAAATACCTTTGTTTTAAAGGTAGTAAATACAGAAATGCATAAAATACAAAGTGAATTGTGCCCATGATTCCACCTCCCAGAAAAAAGCACTAACTGTTGGATCATATTATCTTGCTATTCGGTAACATCATTTTTTTTTCTCTTAATGTCTCATAAATAGTTCTCTATTTCCATCATATCGATCTACCATACACTTTTAAATGCCTGCATCACAACATGTGCCAGACATAGTCTACGTATTTTATTTGCATCAGCTTCCTTAATTCTCAGCATAGCTGTATGAGTGTTGCAATATTACCCATTTTATAGCTAAGGAAACTGAGTCCCAGAAAGTTCCCAGACACCTGAGGTCACCCAGCTGGTAAATGGCAGAGCCAAAATTCAACCCTGACTGTCAGATTCTAGAACTTTAGCTCTCAGCTGCTGTGGCTGGTATTCCACTGACAAGATGTACCATCGTTTGTTTTAATTAATCCTGTATGATGGACATTGAGCTCAATTACACTTCTCTTTTTTTCTATCATGTATAAACAAGGCTGCAATCAATATCCTTATACCTACATCAGCCTACACTTGTCTAATTCTGCCTATTGGATTAATTCCTAGAAGAGGAATTTCAGAGTTAAAGGGTACAAACATTTTACATTTTGATACACATTGCCAAGCGGATAGAAATGTTGAATTAATTTGCACTCCCACCAACTGCATAGGATAGAGATTGCCATTCTCTTCTCACGCCTTGGCGCCACTGAATCTGCTCTGGCAATGGCCACTTCCTCACTGCCAAATCCGACAGCTCTTTACAGCCTCTTCCTGCTCAAAGCTCTGCCACATGAACCCCTGTAGACACACCCTCCTGGAACTCTTCCTGGGCTTCTCTCAGGGCTCTTCTCTCCTCCTATTTCTTTGGCATTTGAAATCTCTTCCCTATGTGAATGCCACACATCCATGGAGTTCTGGGTTCTTCCCTTGTCTTCTTGCTCTAAATGCTCTCCCTCCCTAGTGTGGCAGACTTTCTTAATTGCAGGCCCGACAGCCGTTCCCTCCTTCTTCTTTGCTAAAAGGACCCCAATTTTGTTCAAGTCTTAAAGTGTCCAGCCCCAAAGGATGAATCATGGACAGCCTAAGCCAATTACAGCTATCTTGCCCCTCTTCCTTGAGCGACAGGTGACCACGTGACCCAGTTCTGGCCAATAAGACACAAGGGGAAGTCTGCCTGGGGAATTCTGGGATTTTTCTCTATGGTAAAAAGATAGAGGGGCCAGCCCTGTGGCCAAGTGTTTAAGTTCGTGTGTTTAGCTTTGGCGGCCCAGTGTTCACTGGTTTAGATCCCGGGCGTGGACCTACACACCACTCATCAAGCCATGCTGTGGCAGCATCCCACATAGAAGAACTAGAATGACCTACAACTAGGATATACAACTATGTACTGGGGCTTTGGGGAGCAATT